TTAGTTATCACACCATTACCGACTTGCAATCTGCCAGCACTACACAGGTAATTGGGGGTACATGTAGGTCTAGTGGGGTTTATATATATATATATATATATAAGGCTAGTGGGTTAATGTTGTGTTGCATATCTATGATTCAGGCTTACACACATTTGGCTGTGATCTAAACTTACTGAATCTCCATGACCTGAAAACTGTGTGATTTTATTAGGAGGGCTGTAGGACTTTTGACAGACACCTAATTGACAGTTTGTTTCCATTTCTATTTTATCTAATCTGTCTTTAAGTATGGACATGTTCCCTTTTGCTTGGATACCACAAATTTAATTGGTTACTGAGATTTTGGGACTGGATCACCAAATGAAAAGTGCATTTCAAGTTTTACTTCCATAGCATTGCCACTTTTTTATTTACAATTATTTCACTGGTTTTGCTGACTTATTGTCTGAAAGTCTGACTAAGCTCATTATACACATTTCTGTTGAAATGAAATTATATATGATAGCAGGCTAATTGTTGATTGTAAAACCCAGGGAATAAAGCTGCTGGAAGAACCCCATTGGACTGGGAGACCAGAGTGAAAATAGCTCTGGGCGCTGCACGCGGGATGGCATATCTTCACGCCGAGGGTGGCGGGAAGTTCATTCACGGGAACATCAAGTCAAGTAACATCCTTATCTCACAGGAACTCAGCGCCTGCGTCACTGAGTTCGGCCTTGCCCAGCTCATGTCCACGCCCCACGTCCACCCACGGCTCATCGGGTACCGGTCACCCGAGGTCCTCGAGACCAGGAAACCGACGCAGAAATCCGACGTCTACAGCTTCGGCGTCCTCCTCCTCGAGATGCTCACGGGTAAAGCCCCTCTCAGGTCCCCCGGGCGTGATGATTCCATCGAGCACCTCCCCAGGTGGGTGCAGTCCGTGGTCCGGGAAGAGTGGACGTCGGAGGTTTTCGACGTCGACTTGCTAAGGCACCCGAACGTCGAGGACGAGATGGTCCAGATGCTCCATGTCGCGATGGCATGCGTTGCAGTTGTTCCCGACGAGCGGCCTCGGATGGAGGAGGTGGTCAGCAGGATCGAGGAGATCCGGAACTCCTACTCCGACACGAAGACGTCCCCGGAGGACAATCCCAGGGAGGGCGCCTGAGTAGCAGCACATCAGAAACATGTCATCTGCAGAAAGTAGGTTCGACAGCTCTGTGTTCAGTGTGTGTCCAGTGAAGCTTTGCAGTCAGTAGATTCCTAATCATTCTTTGGTAAAATTGTTTTCTGTTCTTGGTTCCTTAATGTCAGCCCTGGAACCCTGGTGGTGGTTTCGTTTCATTAGCTCTGCTGATTATTGTAGGGTGTTATTTGTCGATCGTTTGAGGCAGCCCAATAACTCTTTCAAGTTTGATTTATTGAATGGCATATGTTTTTGCCACTTTCCTGCGCCTTATATACACCGTAATTGTTGAATCATGAATCATGATTATGCTATTCACTTTCTGAACATCTTAATCTCTTGCAGATTGGTGCATGATTTACTTTGAGTTCACACATCGCCACATAGGTGTATGTATGTATGTATGAGACCCGATGTTGGCAAATTGGCGTTGATACCGGTGAAAAACAAACCTTTGGCACTTTTATTATTGAAAAAGAATGATCTTTTTGGGTACAAAAAAATAATGGTATTCAAGACGATTGAGTGATCAAAACAGCGTTTGCATCAACCTTTTTTTGGTTCTCGGGACGGTACGGTCCACAAGACCTCAATGTCGACATTGAAACCGCGTTACCAGGTGCACAACGTCTTTGTGTTTGAATCGTGTGAATAATCCTGGCTTGCGTTTCCTTTGCAAGATCAGCTCTGCATGATGCCTTAGGAAAAAAAAAAAGCTGACCATCTTCAGCCTGTTCGCTTGCTCGTATCTGGTTTATAAGCTATGGCTTATCAACCAACGAACAGTATTTTTCTCTCACACCAAACCAACCAACAGTACTTTCAGCCATGTCTTATAAGCTCAAACCAGTCCAAACGAACAGGACGCTTAGCGTTCTCTTCTCTGCTCCTATTAAGGGCCCCTTGATTGCAGGGTAGGTATAGGATAGGAAAAGAAAAAACTCAGGAATTCATAGCCTGTTCGCTTGGTCGTATTTAGTTTATAAGCTATGGTTTATCAACCAACGAATAATATTTTTCTCTCACATCAAATCAACCAACAATGCTTTCAGCCATGACTTATAAGCCAAACCAGCCCAAACGAACAAGGCATAGATGGCACACCCCTCTAATCCCATGGGATTTGAAAACAAAGAAAAGTGCCTTTGGCAAGAGCTTAGGTGAAACACAGGAATTTTATACACCAATTGGAATTTGAACAGCTAGCCATTGCATTCAAAGCACCAAACTAGCAGTTACGTTTGCTTATATGTCAATGTTCAAAATCTCGGAGATGGATGGCCTAAGGGCATGTACAATGGCTCTTCAGAAGCCGTCTCTACGATGTATATTTTACAAAAAGCACTCCACCGATACGAGGAGACGGGGTCGGCGTCGTCTCGTGAGACGACGGGAAAGTCCTGTTGCCCGAGGCTGAGGCGACTTCTCCAGCAGAATAAGTTATGCTGGACGCTGCCGTCTCCAACCCCCGAGGGCGAGGATCCGGTCAAGGCGCGGTCCGAAAATCTCGCTCAAGAGATCCGTTTGTTCTGGCACGGGAGAGGCCATCGCGGCGTGGGCATCTCGTTGCAAGTCACCGGAGGAAGCAAATTGTTCCGCCATTCGCGGTCGTTCGGTAGGTGGTGTCGCGCGCCACCGCCCGCCGAGAGCCTTGACCTCAATTGGGATTTTGGCAAACGTACGATGATTGTTGGTCGACGAGCGCAATCTTGCCCAGCTATGGCGTGCGCGTTCTTGATTAATCACTTGATCTTGTAAATTGAAGCTTGTTAGGCTGTTTGGGATTAGTAGAATTGTTCCTTGATCACAGAACTTGATGTCTGATGAAATGTGCTTCATAGAATCAGGGTCGGCCCTGGCATTATGGTGGTCTAGGGCGAGTAAAAATTGGGGGTCTATTCCTAATATATATGTGCAATATATTTTTTTTCTAATATATAATATAATCATTATATCGATGGTTTTGTAAAAAAATATTATAATTATGTTGCTCTTATTTATCATTGATACATTTTCTATCAAATAGCCACACAATGGTATACAAATATTTATTTATAGTTGATTTTAACTACACACAGAGCATTAAAGAGCTTAGAGACATACTCCCTCCGTCCCGTTAAGATTGTCGCTCGGGAAGCGGGATTGTGAGGGGGGCACGGTTTTCCAACGACAAACTCAATGGGACGGAGGGAGTAACTCCGTCTATGAGTTGTATAACCAGTCTTTATACTTGCCTGTATGATAGATTCAAAGTACTTAAAGACGAAATCCTATCCATGGGTTGTACATGCCCTAAGCCGGCACCATTCCTCGAGAGCCCCTAATTGCCGCTAATCATCCGAACACTCCAGACTGTGGGACCACCTCATGGGTCATTCTTATCCACACGCTCCTGCCGACGCCCAGGCCAGCAGCCCTCATCCTCTCTGTTTCTTGTCAAAGTCTACTCCGTACCTCTCTGTTTTTCGTCTGCTCTGCTGCTGCGTCGCCGCCGGCGCTGGGGCAGAGAACGCTCTCCCTCCATCGCGAGCGCTCGCGTTGTGCCGTCCTGGCGCCGCAGACGACATGGCCGCGGATCTCCTTTCTGTTGTTCCTGGGTTGCGCTGCGGGCTGCTGCCCTCTTCTTCCGCAGCGGAGCAGAGCAAGACGGAACTGGGCAGCGGGTGATGGCGACGCAGCACAAGGAAGGAGTGGAGCGGAGGGGCGGACTTGTAGCGAGACTTGGGCTTAGCGGCGGAGCGCGCGAGTCGTTTCCTTTCGTGCCATGAAAGTTTCGATGAAGTCTGAGCTCTTGTTTAATTTCCTGTGAAACTGAGCCGTAGGAATCCAATCCTATGAAAATTTTTCTATGTTTTTCCTGTAAACCAAAGGCAGGTATAAAAAATTCTAAAAAATGCAAATCTTATAAAATTCCTTTGCCAATCCTACAAAGGGCCCTAAGACGAAACTTGAATCGTCCACACCCCGTGTGGCCATATCGTTGTGCCGACTCCCTGACCCCACGCACCCACCCGACTCCCACAACCGCGAGTCCTCGTCTCGTCTCGTCTAAGAAGAATAAGGGTAAAGTACACTTTACAACCCTGAACTTGAATCGTCCACACCCCGTGTGGTCACATATCGTTGTGCCGACTCCCTAACTCCCTGAAATTCCCTGACCCCACGCACCCACCCGACTACCCACATTTACATATAAAAATTATCCATCACAACATCGTATCAAAGGTCCTCGTTTGAGTCGTCTCGTCTCGTCTCAGAAGAATAAATATAATTTACATATAGAACCTTCATCGCGCCCTTTTCGAAATGTGAAGTCTCATCCTCGCCGCCGAGCGCCCCGACCGCTACAACTTTATAGTTTTGATTTTTTTTTCATTTGAGAACTGATACTCGCCTCCACGGGCCCTCGCCGCAGCCAAATCAGCCCCCAAAAAATAATTTAACCCTTCCGTCCCACCGGCGGCCGATGAACCCGCCGCCGCCGCCGCCCGCATAACCTGCTCCCTCCCGGCCCCTCGCGGCAAGAGGGGCCCGCTCCAACCTCCGGCAAGCGGGAGCCGTAGCCCTCCGTCCCCGGCCGTCCGCAAGAGCCGAGCGGCAAGAGGAGCCCGCTTCGCTCGACTATATAACTCCGGCGAGGAACGGCCTCACGGAGGTGCTGCTTCCGTCTCTCACGGCGCGCACGCGTGACGCCGTGGTGCGCGGCTTCCTGCAGTCCGCTCAACGCCGTCTCCAAGCGCTACTGCTCTATCTCCGAGCTCGAGGCCGAGAGCCCCGTTGCAGCCAGCGAGGCTCCAAAGCCGCTGCCACCTCGGTGCAGCTCCTCCCGATGCCTTCAGGGTGTTCCCCGTCACCACTCACCAACGAGGACTCGGTGAGTCTTGGTGGCTTTGTCACTGGGGAGGAGCAGCCTGTTGCCATATTCTCAGAACTGAATGATTTTTTTTTTGGAATTTTTGGAATCTGTAGAACGATCTTTGTTAAAAAAAATCATCCATTAGCTGCTCAACCATATTATTGGATAGAGTATGCGTCATCAACTGAATGATTTTTGGAATTTGTAGAACAGTACTGATGAGCCCAACCTCCACTTAGAAGAATAACATAGATCTTGGCACAGCGAACGATTGGTTGAGCAGCTATAGTCGATGATGAGCATATATCCAGACAATCATTCTAAATGCTTCAAACTCAAAATCTGTGTTTGGAAGCATAGGTTTTGCTTTATTAAATTTTCTGTATGGAAGCAGGCAAAGTATGTTGGTCAGTACAGAGTTATTGATTATGATTTGTTACAGGCTTATTATCTGTGTCCACTTCCTTGCTCTGTTTTTGCTATTTGTTAGTTCTACTGAACTTTACTCGATTGGGGTTCCTGCAAAGGCAACACTGAATTTATGTATTTCTTTGGCATAGCGGAGTAAGGGTCTTACTATTAAGCTTAAGATTTGGGTAACAATTGTTGTAGATGCATATATGAACTGAATACTAGGATCCCATAGCTTGTAAAGAAATGGACACATATGAACCACATGGTACCAATGATAGGCATATGACCAAAGTTATGTATTAAGAGACCTTGTCACAGTGAACAATTAAGATGAACACACCACCTCGATAGGTGCATATATCCAGACAATCGTTCTAAATGCTTTTAAACTCATAATCTGTCATGCAGTGTTGTTCTTATTCCAGGAATACATGTTCAAATGGATAAGCTTGCAGACTATCTTGGCTATAACCGAATATCCAGTTTGATTTATAATTTTTAGTGCAAATGTACAATTTACCTTTTCAGTTGCGCAACTTATTAATCAATAAAAAATAAGTTGTAAGCAGTAATACACAATTTGGATTAATGTTCCAGCCTGTACAGTTTTTATTGAGGTGTTTTTATGCTTAACTATATATGCAGAGAAAGTAGTCTACAATACTGAAAAAAAGCCTCCATGCAACTGAAATTTATACTGGCCTACATGCAATTGAAGTTTATTGTACTACAGCCCTTAATACTATGTTTCAGAGAAGTTCGCATTGACAATATTTTTTCTCTGCAGTTCTTGACATTGACACTGTGGGTACATACACAATGTGTTATGAAGCCCTCAAGTATCTCAAAAGGGTGGACCAGGGAGAGGTCCTTCTTCTGTGGCCTCATTATTAACATAAGCGCAACACTGCAATACACTGCAGCTTGGTACCAAATTCATGTCTCTTCTAACAAGGTACTTGGACCTTCTCTGAACCGCTATGCAAGAGAAAATCGATGAAGTATGTAGATTTCTCCTGATTGATCGGCTTCTATAGGCAGGTGTTGATAGTATCATAAGATTATTGACTCTGGAATGGGGAACAGATTACGACATTAGAGTAAATGGAATTGCACATGGACCAATTCAAGACACTCCAGGAATGAGGAAACTTGCACCTGAAGAAATGGGCAAGGGGAAACAAGAAACGATGCCATTATTTAAGCTTGGGGATAAATGGGAGATAGCAATGGCCGCACTCTATCTAGCTTCTGATGCAGGTTAGCCACTTGGCTGTGTTCTTCCTTGTTTTCTATCCATATTATCAGAAGGCATTATATACAGATTTTCAGTTAGTACTGAGCATCCGCTTATCTGAAAGTTAGCCAGAAGACTTTGTGCCCATACTTATTAAACTAGCAATCTTTCTGTTTTTATATTCATGCATACCTTTTAAGTAGTCAATGTAACCACTGTGGTTGATCTGCGATAAGTTTTAGCCTCATGTTGATGAAAAAAAAAGAAAATAGCCTCACCTGAAAACCTAGCCGCTTTTCTTTTATTGATGATTAAAACCAGACATTTGATGTGTGGTACAATCTGATTTCTTTACTCCTAAAAAGAGAAACCTGGAATTTATCGTTTCTTAGAAATTCCTATAAACCACCGTGTAATGTCTCTTTTTTTTATTAAAAAGTATTGTGCCTAGAATATTCACCGGTGTTATATTCTTCTTTTACTGTAAGTAGTTGAGATAGAGTGATGACAGGTCCTTTCATATTTGGCTTAATGAAAAATATGAACTACAGGATGTTTTTTTTGGCGACTATCTACAGGATGCTCAGACCTGAAGTTTTAGCTTTATGGCATTTCTTACCATGGTAGACAAGCTTTCTAAATAGTTAATTGTTTTGTTACAGTATCTTGACTGAGCTTTCTTCTAAGGAAACATTACATTGATATCTCCATAAAAATATTTGTTGACATGATTGCATTATGAATCTTTTGATTTTTGGCAACCGTTTTGTGGTCATGTGTTTAGATCCTCTTATTCACTTCTCTGCAGTCAAATTCAGTAACAACAGATTGAACCATGCACTCACTATATGGTAGAGTTCTAAGCACCATGTCCTTGCTACAAATTTCACTTGACTATTCACTTGACTATGTGTTTCCAGTGACCTTCAGCCATTACTACTGCAAAATGCTTCTTGTGCCAGCTTGCTGGCGGACATGTACGTGAATTTCCTGCAGATGTGCTACCTGACCTCGTGCACCCTTGTTTTGATTTGTTGACAAAGCCTTTTAGCTCTATTGTAGCCTTGCATGTACTTAATTTCAATGACATGGCAAGATATTTCTCTTCCAATTCTTACCATTTTTCTCCTCTTGAGCAACTTTGAGCTCACAAAAGACACTACCAGGCACTGCCCTTGGTCTTGTATCTCAAACAGTGAGCATTCATTCTATTAAAAGAATCACACAACATATGCAAGTGACGGTGACACTACCAAACATTTTTAGCCTCATGTTGATTTCGACGAGGCTGCAGTTTGTTGATATACATGCCTTGGACAGCAAGGTGTGAACTGCTATATAGTTTGATCAATGTTTCATTTCCATTTATACCAGTGATGCAAATTAATAGATCATGTGCCGCTGTAACTTCGTTATTGGTGCCAACATTGTTTTGAAAACCCTTCTTATGGGAGCAAATTGGATTAATTAGTTTATCACCCATAGCAACGCATGGGCATTAGCTAGTGACTTCAAATGTGTGCAGTAGAAAGAACCCTAAAAAAGAAATCATAGCGTAGACGCTAAGACGCAAGAATATGCAAAGTCAAACCAAAATGCCTATTGGCTATACTGGGTGTGCCTATGGTTACAAACAATCTTAATCGCAGCAAGAACGCAGGAGATCGACGAAACGAACCAAGGGGTCAGTTAGGCCGATATTGAGCTTGTTCTTCACTTGGTAGACTCCCGAACACCTCCCGAAAAGCCTTGTCGGGAAGGACCACGTGGAGGTTGTCTTAGGGTTAGCAAGGCCATATAGAACGCTGCCAAATCTCACCTAGAGACATGACAAACACCAAGGTAGAGAGAAAGTAGGGCAAAAGAGGGTATGTGTTGTGTTTTTGAACGATTGGAAGTTGAAAACCTCAATCAGCCGTGATCCCCTTGTGTATCTAGAGGGGAATTGTCTTATTGTAGTAAGAAATAAGTTTAAAACACATCCTCCAAAATTTTCAACGTCAAATTAGATCCAAAACAAATTTAGAAACCAAACTGGTTCGAACTCAGAGGGCCAGTTTTCTCGGGCTAGGCACAGAGCCGGTGTAGTGTCGAGATGACGGACTATAGGGGTGAATAATTATTTCTAAAATTAATTGCACCAATTAACCAAAATAAATGCGAAATTAAAACTATCGATCTAGCTAAGATTACACCCCTCTATCTAAGTTCTCAAGCACCTTAAAAGGACCCTAATTAGGCAACAAAGGTGCCGGACTAGCTAGAGCTCACTTAACAATTCTAGCTTGCAAGGTCACACAAACCTATGCAACTAGTACTTCAAGCAACCGGGGAGCTCCTACACAACTAGTGATGCAAAGCACACAAAGATCCTAAGCTCACTAGCAATGCTTAATAACAAGGCTACACAAGTTAAATTAGAGAGCGCAAATTACTTAGCTATATAAACTATAGCAATGTGACTAACAAGGTTACTCAAACCAAATTAGTCACACAAGGGAGCTACTACTATGCTAAACAAGCAAGAAGATAACTAGCAAGTTACACAAGCTAACTAATTACAAGAGCAACTACACAAGCACAATGAATATGAAAGTAATTATAAGCTTGTGTAAGGGGATTTCAAACCAATGGGAAGAGGATGACACGGTGATTTTTATCTCGAGGTTCACTTGGTTGCCACCAAGCTAGTCCCCGTTGTGTAGACCGATCACTTGGTGGTTCGGCGGCTAATTGGCATCATCCGCTAAGCCCACATGTTGGGCACCACAAGAACCTACCCCAAAAGTGAGGGTAGCTCAATGACACGCTCTACAAGTGTTGCCCTTCACGGCTCCCACAAGGTGAGTACGGTACCCCTCACAAATCCTTCTTCGGAGCACTACACAAGCTTCCTTGCGTGCTTTGACGGAGACCACCACCAAGCCGTCTAGGAGGTGGCAACCTCCAAGAGTAACAAGCACCACTGGCTTGCAACTTGATCGCCTAGTGCTACTTGATGCAACCTCACGATGCAATCGCACTAGAATCACACTCACACTCAATCGGATGATCACTATCAAGCGTATGTGAGTTAGAGGGCTCCTAAGCACACCTACACAAGCCACCAAGGCTTAAGGGTGCTCAACAACCAGACCAAGGCCGGTTAGTGCTTGGTTTTATAGCCCCCAAGCAAATAGAGTCATTGCTCCAAAGATTCCCTTTTTTGAGAGGGCACTGGACACGGCGGTGCCTGGCACCGGACATGGCGGTGCCCCTCCCAATGGTCAAATTCCAACGGCTAGAAACTAGCGTTGGTCACCGGACAGGGGTGGCGGTGGCACCGCCCTAGGGGAGGCGGTGACCACCTAGGCCAAACCCTCGGTTTCCCTCCTCTTTAGGAAAAAACGGCGGTGCACCGCCCTCCATGTGGCGGTGACTAGGGCGGTGACCATCTGGCTTCACCAGCCTCTAGAAAATGGGGCGGTGCCCACGGCGGTGGCACCGCCCCTAGGAGTGGTGATGCACCGCCACTATCACAGCGATGAACACCAGAAATGGCGGTGCCACCCCCCTTCTCTGTTGTTCTCGGCCATGGCTGGGCACCGCCTCGGGGTGGCGCTGCCACCGGACGGGGTGGCGGTGCCCCTAGGGCAGCACTCCGAGCCTAGTTTTGCCTCCTTTCTCTACCTTTGCCAACACCTTTGCAAATGTGCTAACACTCCAAGTGATACACCACCTTGTGCACTTGTGTTAGCTTTTCACAAATATTTTCCAAAGGATTAGTCACTTCTTTCACCACACCACTCGATCCTAACACATATGCAAAGTTAGATCGTTCAAGTGGCACTAGATGACTGATAAGCAACACATGCGGTTGAATGACCTGACGCTGGGTGAGTCCGGTCAGTGGTGACTAGATGCGTCCGGTCACCAAAATACCTCTCTGGATTGCATCGGACGTTGATGCAACAATGACTGGACGCTATTGCAACATGCACCGGATGCTACTGCAATGAGAGGACCGTTGGGCGCCAATGGTCGAATTCAAATAGTCTGTGACCGGACCCTACTGCAACTTCGATCGGAGGCTACTGCAACTTGCATCGCAGGCTATTGCAACAATGCACCGGACGCGTCCGGTCATCCCGACCAGCGAGTCCGATCGTCGCATAGGAAGCCCCACCTTGTGTCTAACGGCTCTATTTCATTTGGGGGGCTATAAAAGGTGGTTGGCCGGCTTGGGCTCACACTCTTGGCCATTTGCATTGACAATACACCCTTGTGAGCCTAGCCAACACTATCCAACTCGCCTTGCTTGATTAGATCATCATCTAGTGAGATTTGAGAGCATCCAAGTGGATTGCTTTAAGTGATTGCATCTAGAGGCACTTGGTGATTGTGTTTTGCTGCGGGATTCGCTTGTTACTCTTGGTTGTTGCCGCCACCTAGACAGCTTGGTGCAACGAGGATCATCACGTGGAGGAAGGTGATTGTCTTCGGCTTCGATCGTGGTGATTGTGAGGGGGTTTTGACCTTTCCCCGGCGAAGAGCTAAAAGATACTCTAGTGGATTGCTCGTAGCTTATGGATCCCCATCTTGTGTTGGTTGTGCAGCACCCGACTACGGGTTAGGCGTGTGATGCCTATTAGCGCGTGAACCTCCAAGTGGGTGAATCGCTACAACGGGGACTAGCTTGCCCGCAAGCAAGTGAACCTCAGTGAAAATCATTGTGTCATCTTGTCACCGGGATTTCAATTGGTATTCTTGATTGATCACTTGCCACGGTGGTATATCTCCACTACCTTACCTTGCATTTACTTTCCTAGTGTAGCTAAGCTCTTTAGTGTAGTTAGTTTTGTTAGTGAGGATCTTTAGTTAGTCTTTGAGAGTTCACTAACTTAGTGGTAGTGACCTAGCCTTTCTGTGGTTAGAGACTATAGCAACTAGAATTATGGTATGTGTAAGTGCATCTAGCCCTTTAGTGGGTTTTGGTAAATTGTATGAAAACACAATTAAAGGTCTAATAAGTTTGCTAAGTGTTGAACAGGAAATTGAGTCTATTGCATATACTTGTGGGTTGTATATTAACAAGTATATACAAGGTTCAACTAGTAGGCAAACTTGATGATATGCCACATTGTGTTAAAGTGAATGCCAAACTGTGTATTGTTGTATTGGAAGTTTATGGAAGCAATCTAGTTCAAGCAAAAGACAACAATACAAATAGAATCAATGAAATGGCTTCTATGTTGTGGGATATCATAGCATCATGTGAAAGCAAACATACTTGGTAAATGACAATGTATAGTGGATATAAGTCGGTCTCTACATTGGTTTGCTTACATGGATGAATATCTGAAAGATCAATTGGAATGTCAAGCCAAAATGAGAAGGGAATAAGGAATCATGAATTAGCTTGACCATATTGATGTTGATCCATGTATGTCTCTATGTGAGACAAACTGAAGCTTGATTGATCTCAACATTCATATCTAGAAAATATTCAAGCAAGGATCAAAATATTGAAGAAATGTTTTTCAATGGATGCTTAATATAATGTGACTTAAGTATGGCTTGATAGGGTGAAGATAGCAAGGAAAGGGCTTCGAGGTACTAAGCGAAGGTGAAGGGCAAGCGATGGCTTGGCGACCGAGGTACCATGGCTAAGGTGAAGAAGAGAGTACTTGCATTGAGTTGAGGTACTAATCAAGCTATGATGATTCATATTGTGTTGAGGATCAAATTATTAGTGGAAGTGACTTGAAGCCATGAAGGTGAACTCATATGTATGGAAATGGTTCAAGTCACATAATCAAGGTATAATGAGAATGAGGAAAACATATTCGATGATAGAAGTCCTCAATTGCCAAATTAAGTGGCAACCAGCTCAAAGGCATTTACATTCTTTTATGCTTTGAATTTGAGTTTAGGAAAAACCGTACTATAAAGAGGGATTCTAGTACAGTTGGTCAACTGTGCAACCAGATGCTCAAAACTACAGATCTATATCCTCTTACCCAGCCAAAGCAGCCAGCCAAAAATCTCTAGATTCTACCTGTTTTGGCTAGGGCGGCAGTGCCGCCCATAAACGACCGTTGGGACCTAAGTGGTATAAATACCATTTAGGCCGGCCCACAACTTAGATCCTTCCTCTCCAACGGTT